GCCTCATTTACTGTTATTAATTACAGCTTGTTTAGACAAGCCTAACATTCATATTATGGTGTGCCAAGTCTTTGACAAAGTGGTATAATAGATTATGTAGACGGCATGAAGAACTAAACAGAAAGGGAATGAGATAGTTCCTGTTTGCGGGTAATTATCCCATGTGTTAGGGTGCCTAAATATATCAGACCTCACCATTACATCATTTACACAAGTCAAACCCCAGCGCTACACCCTATTGATAGAAATTCATTAAGTCCCCACTCTGTGCCCTGACATGCAGTTTGAGCCATCAAACTCCAACACTGCACTCCACAAATCCACCAGTGAAGGCTCTACATTATGCCCATTTGCACAAATCAGGCCCCATGTTACAGGCTGTTTACACACATCAACCACCCTCCCCCCACCCTTCCAAGCCAGCCCATACCACCCCTCCACACCCGGGTCCCAAAAGCCCGGCCCACTGTTTAAAGAGACAGATAAACTGGTCAAACCTTAAGATAACCCTAACCCTAACTCTTAACCGCACCCCCTCACTGCACCTCTGAGATTCTGATTCTGGCAACGATCCTAGGAGGATTAATTAGTTACATTTATGCACAAGTCGGGCCGTCTGACACCAGTCGGAGCATCAGAACCCCATTTGAAGGTGTTAATTGGCGTGAGTCAGACACTTACGTTTCAGTCAAGGAGCTCAACAGCATACTCAACTAAAATAAGAAAGGCGAGGTGCTGAGGTATTTAAATTAATTCAAACAGGAGAAAATTAGGATAACAGTGCAGAAAACGGAAGTATTACCAGGCCAGGCCGTCATGTGCTACACGGCTTTGTGTTTTGTTTTTTTTGCCTCATGGAAACAGAAACCGTTAAATTAACAAACGAAGTCAAGAGTACTGAAGGGGGTGTGACAGTATTTAACTTTTATTACCTTTGCTTCCGTCTGCTCCTCTAGGATGTTTGTCATCCTTTACAAGAAGCCTTCCGGCCTTCTAGAAATTTCTGCGCTAAAACAAAAGCAGGATAGAAACAGAGTGAAGCAGGGTGTGATTGGGGGGCAAATTATAACCAGTCAGCTTTAAGTAAAACTAAGGCTGATGGCATCCGCACTGAGAAGCCTCCTCTGCCGCACTGAGACGCCTCCTCTGCTGCACTGAGACGCCTCCTCTGCCGCAGAGCTGTGAGCTGTTTAATGCAGAATTATCCTCGTCTCCTCGTTTTTTTTTTGCCTGCTCAACATTATTATAATCACAATATAATACTAATAACAGTACTATTAGTACTATTAAACACTATTAAAACTATATTAATTAATTATATTAATTAATAATATTATTAATACTATTAAACAGTCATCATCTATCTACCATCACTTGGGTAGGCCTGGAGCCGAATAATAATAATAATAAAAATTACTATTATTATTATTATTATTAATAATAATAATAATAATAATTATTATTATTATAAAAAATAATAACATTAACAACAACATCACTGCTTTTTAGAGGTGAGGAAACTTTCGGGCTGGGGGCGCCATGCTAGGCTCAGAAAGCTAACGCTGTCTTTGGCCAGGAGGGGGTGACTTTTCAGAATGCAGTGTGGCCAAGATGTCTCGATGCAACATAAAACACCATGACACGGCTGGGCAGGAGAAGCCATAGCTGCGTTTTGTATATGTACACCCCTGAACTGTTATCTTTGTGGTGTTGGGATGTCCGGTGAAGCACATCTGGGGCTCAAACTGCGAGCAAAAAATAAAAATAAAAACGCCTTTATGTAAGATGCACTATGGCAGCCTCAAGGTCCTATAAAAACCATGAAAAACTAGCCAATGATGTCACGCGCAGTAGTTGGGTGCCATTGTGCCAGTTGACTGATGTGCTATTTGCTTTTCTGCTATGAGACACCAAGAAGTCATTGGCAGTGTATGACGTAACCAGCAATAGGTGTATCGCTCAGGACAGAAGATTATTGATATGCTGGATTACCGCCTGGATTTACTTGATCTTGATCTCGTTCATTTACTTCTTTGTTTTACAAATCTTCCAGTCACACCAGTAAGTGCATGCTTTAGTGTTGTGTCATAACGCAATTGCTTGTAGAATGATATGCTAATTCAGAAACAGTCACTGGACGTTTACGGAAGCTGATGGATCTAAACTCTTTAAATAAAAGTGTCCTGTACGCCATGCATATCAAATAATCTGCAGTTACATTAATTCAAACGCAAAGACCTGTCGGAGCGACCTAACCTCTCACAAAGTTAACAGGATCCTTAATACTCGGTTCTACTTCGCTTACATACTTCGAAAAACGATGAAAAACCAGCAGGTAGAGATCGGTGATTAAAAAAAAAAAAAATCAAGCTGTTACTGTATTCCGACCGACTGAGGCCTTGGACCAAAGCCCTTGTATTCTAGGTGTTAGCAAAATAACCTTAAAGAATATTAGTCATGTAAGTCAAACATAGCCAACTGTATAAAATACATATAGCCTATAAAAGAGTAACGAAGTAAAAGTCACTGTCGCTTTATATATTCCCGTTACTGTAGCAATGTCTGAGCTGCTGTCTAGTAGATTAAGCGATTAAGCATTTGTTACAATAGTAACTAAAATTAAATTTGGCTTACCAGGTGTTAAAATGTATTACAATAAGAATTTATTATCCACATCCTGTTTCATTAACACCTACGTAAAAATATCGACATAATAAATATTTCTTTTCTCCATAAACTAAACGCGGCATGTTACGTGCAGGTGCAATTGCTTATAAAATAACACATTATTTTATAAACAAAGAATAACTTAAAAAGTAAAAGAAAATCACCAAATAGTAACATAAATTGATATTAATTAGAGGTTATCTGTGGAATTTTCGCTAATTCCCTAAATAACGATGTTATTTTTTTTTAATGAAATGATAGTATTTCTAGTGCGTTTCCTTTGTGTTTTTTGTGTTTCTTTATTTCGTTATTTATATTACAAATTTGTACGGGTCATTCCAAAAATACTCAGAGTCCAAATTTGTGTTTTGTCAAACCATAGCGTCCGTTCGCTATTCTGCAATATTCTAAAGAGTAAAAATGTTCAGTCTTATGATTTCTTGTAAGAGAGTAAATTTGAAGAAAACGTAGGTGATCTGATTGTGGCTTGAAGGGTTTTTCTTCCTTGTCGGTTATCTCAGAAGTATTTTCCTTTTGAACCTGTGGGTGAAAGAAATCTCTGAGGTGGTAAGGCGGTATGAGTGTACATGCGTAAACACACACATTGACCTGCTGCGTGGGCAAGAAGCGATCGTACATTATCAACACAGGAGGATTAAAATGATTGTAAATTTAAAGCATCTATCAGGCAACTTTTCTCCTAAAAGTTCGTCTAACCGGTTTAATTTATAGCGAAAGCAAGTCAGAATATGTACTATGTAATCGATATTAGCAACATTTTCCCATTGATATTAAAAACAGTATAAACATCGAAACAGATGTTTATATTGATGGAAATAATTTTGTAATGTTCCAATATTATCACATACATTGTCATGCATCTGTCCTTTCGTTTTCCATACCCGCTTGTTCTGTGCAGCAGCCTGTCACGGGAATTAAGGCGGAATGGGGCGCCACCCCATCGCAGGGCACACTCACACACCATTCACGGACAAATTTCACAAATATATAATTTTTATATGCTGTTTTACGTGTAACACTAGTTGTGATTATTACTCACTACCTTTGCAAAATTCGATAAGACATGAGGATATCTCCAGTTACAAAAAAAAAGCATGCAAAATGGGTTTTCCGATAGAAAGGCGGTATCTGCCAATAAAACGAGATATAAAACGGCAATCGGCTGTTTCCTTTGTACTGTAGCCGCAGCGTCACGGTAAACAGCAAGGCGTAAATCCAAGGTTCCGGCGTGTCAGTGAACATGAAAGACCAGCAAAAAATCATTTAAACGCATGAGCACAAACCTATACGACTAAGCTGCGAGAAAAGCAGCGCTGGGGGGACAAATAGAACTTTCCCGCAAGCAAGAGCGAAGTTGCGAGTTGCACACGCGCTGCCATTCAGACACTCAGCACCAGAGAAGCGAGCATCACAGGCGGGGTCACGCAGCGTAACGGCAGCGCTGAAGCTTTGCACGGTTAAATACCCACCACACCAGCAGCTATTATCCCACAATATGGGCAAGAAATTACAGTAAACTATGCCCCGCAATTACTTTGGCGGTCTGATGTGTCATTTTTGGTTAAGCACATGTATATTTTTCCAGAAAAGTCACCTATTAAAATTCAATTTTTTGTCTCAACTCTGTACAACAGACCGGGGGTAAATCAATACATATATATACATATATATATATATATATCTCAATCATATACCAAATATAAAATCAGTCGCATATTTATCGCCTTTACCAAACTAAAATTTATAAACACAGCTTAAAGTAGCAGCTTTCACTTTTAAATAACGGATTTTTTTTTTTTTAAATTTATGACGAAGTAAAGTTTTCCCTGCAGGCTAAAAAATATTTAAGTGTAAAGATCGAAGCGATAAACTGAAAGTTAATACTGATACCCCCTCAAGTCCTGTCAAACTTTCAGAAGCGTTTAAACCATGTAGCGCTTTTGATATGGTGTTCATTGCAACGGGAATGAGTACCCCGACTTCGCAGCAATTTAAAAAATTTCACGCAAGAAATTGTAGAATTATATATACCGCTGCAAAATCTCTAGATAATTTTAAGTCAGACATTTCAAAAAGGTCTTTGTCGAGGCCGCAATAACATTGCACTTCAGAGCCATCACCTACAACCCACTCAGTTCCAACTTTCGTTTCCAAGGTTAAAATCAGATTTTTAAAAAATGAAACTAATAAAACCTTTTGCCCCCGCAAATCCACTCATTCACGCGTGTCATCTCAAACACAAAATGTTCAGCGATTAGGTAAAACGCAACCCTTTTATTTAAAAAAAAAAAAAAAAAAACTAACACAGCGAACCTGATCACAAAATTAAAATTTTAATCAAAACTTGAAGAAAGGTTACTTAGAGGGGTGCAAATGCATACCCACCCTCAACGTCGCGAGCACAGCTTCGCCGTTTCACCAATATTATCTGGTAGGCTACTTCTAAAAGTTCGGACACGGATGGCACGAGGTGAGACAAATACTTAATGTGTTCCAGCACGCAGCCTTAACTACTATGGCTTCAGGACCACGAAAACGCTGAAAAGCACGCGAGCCGTTTTTATTATCGATTTCTGTAACACTGGCATGTAGACATTTTTGTACAAGATACCGCACATTGTACATTGCACAAATACTGTACAGGAAAGAGCCGTCAATAAATAGATCACATCTGTATAAAATAAGGGATGGGGCATGCTTATCAAAATAAATGGGGGTGGGGGGGGGGGGCTAACATCGATGATCAAATATTCGCACGACTTGCGTGATGTACAGTTTGGCACCTTAAGTTACACAGTAGCACGCTGCTCAGAAACGGACTTCAGGGCTGGAGGGGCCCAGGGGACATTTGGGGAGGGAATCTGACCGACATTAAAATTAAATAAAATTAAGGGCTCGGGTAAAAGGCATAGTAGCCCATATTTTTAGTTGTCTCCTTGCTATACTCATCAGTGGTCAAGTCCTCACACTTGATGGTGGGCGAGTTCTCTGTGCTCGAGTGGCCAGCGGACACTCTGCGCCTCTTACACACCATGGGGTAAATGCCAGAGTCAGAGGAGTCCAGCGATTTCAGAGATGGGGGTGTGTCGATCCAGGTGGGGGCTGGGCCGGGAGCCGCTGCCCCGTCCTCCTCCCGGGCCTTGTCCTTGCCAGACAGGTGGTCCTCAGAGTAGCCTGGGGGGCTGGGCCGCGGGGACCAGGGCAGACCTGTGGCCACCTTCCGCTGGTACGGGCCCCGGGGACCCCAGCTGGTGGCCATGGAGGTGAACGCCGAGTCAGCGTAGTATCCAAGGCTGTGCGGACTCTGCAGTGGGAGGGGCTTTAAGCTGTAGGGCAGTAGGCCCCCGCTGCTGTAGTCTCCCTCGTAGGCCCCCAGTTCCAGCTTTCCAGAGCCCGGCTGCTGCATGGGCCCCACAAACCAGCGCTGTGCCGGGGTCCCGTCCTCCCCCTGTGGCGACAGGAGCCCATTGGTCTGCGGCACGGCCCGCTCGCCGTTGTAGAAGCGGTTCTGCTGAAGGTTGTTCACGAACTGGTCCTGGAAGAAGGGCTGGACAGCGTAGCGTGCCCCTGGTACGATCTGGTGGGAGCGCGGTGAGTCGGTGGGTGACGGGGTCAGCCGGTCGCTCTCAGGGGCTGTGTACATGCTGCAATGGAAGGCGGTCATTCACTAGACAACCGAACACTGACAATGTTAAGGACTAAACCCCCCCCCCAATGCACATGCATGCCAATACTTACGAATCATAGTTGTCTCTGAAGCCTTTTGCAAACGGATTGTGATCAATTTTCAGTTGTGTGATCTATGAAAAATGAAAGATCTTTTAGAACTTTTGAATAATACTTTAAAGCACTTGTCATGTGTCTGAATCAAGCCAGTGACTTATGCTGAACCATTCCACATACATCAGTGTTCTGGTAGGCAGTGACCGCGATGAACTGGTTTTCAGGGAAAGTGAAGGTCTGAGTCTTTGAATCACTGCTCATGTCCTCCACGCCATCTTCTGTAACCTCCACAATATGCAGCCGCGGCTGGTATTTGTGTAGAGACTGAAGGACGATCATCTATACAGGGGTTACAGAGGTGAGGAAGAAGCCATCAGTTTACACTAGAAATGTGTGAGCTATTATAGAGTGAAGGAAACACAGCATAGTAGTGTGTGGCATTTTTAAAATTCAAAAAAAAGTGAAAAGGTAAATGGGGGGGGGGGTGTAGGTTTCAGACCTTAGTGAATATTACATTAGAAGGGCAAATACTTAAAATGAGTCATTAGTCTTGCCACAACATAATTGCACTTCCAAAGTTAGTTCGTTAAAAAAAAAACAAAAAAAAACTGAGTGTCGTCAGAATCGAGCAGAAGCCAGAGGGCATTCTCACTTGAGTGCTGTTATTGGCGCCTTTGTTGTTAGTCAGTTTCAGTTTGCCGAAAGAGATCTCCTGCCTCATCCAATGGGCCCCCGTGTTTGGAGACTCCGGATGAACATACATCTTGTTACCTTACAAAACATAATAAAATAAAAATTGAACACTTCATCACAGTACACTTCAGGATAATCGTGTAGTAGCAGAGTTCGCCTAAATTGCCAGGTCTTTAATCGATCAGCCTCAGGAATAAAAGCGAGACAATCCGTACCATGGCCCGATTATAACTTAAGACGCGCAGATCAGTGACCATGTTCGGCTGCTGCAAAATTCCATAAGTTGTATGGCAATACCTTGCATATTATTGTCGGCTTTTCCACAGGTCACCCATTTGCCTCCCTGGAACCTCCAGTGGTTCGGATCGGCCAAGATGATCTCAACAAAGACGTTGTAATGGGCCGTGAGGTTTAACCCAGTGATATTAAAACTGAGAAATGGAAACATTCGCCTGCCGAAAGAAAACGCGAGCAAATATTAAGAGTGTTCTTAAAAATACCTTACTGGAAACGGCAAGAAATAAAAATTTATATTATTATGTATGTGAGGCTACACGGTATAAATACACACTGAAACTCCCAATGATCTAGATGTGGTAATTTGCTACACCTCCAACAAAAACGCGGCTTAACATTGTTCTCGCTGCTTTATCTGAATTAATACGTCACGAATTAGTATGCCATTTAATTAACGTATTTATTTGGGGTATATCACGCATGATTTTAAGTTAAATCGACGAGCAAATTTAAATACTGATAAGGAACTAACACACACACACACAGGCGTTTACAAGATATACGGTTAATGGTCGTAGTGTTAAAGGCAGCAAGTGCCGTTAACCAGCATACCTGCCCTGCTTGGTGATGATCATCTCCGTTTGATGCCGATGAAACTTCAGCCACAGTGGCCGATTGCAGAGGTAAACTTGAGCCCTCGTCCCAGTCCCAGTGATCGGTACGGAGCCAATACCCGACCCCGTACCTGCGTAAGACGGGTACAAACACCCAGGACCTTGTCCAAATTGATACCCTGAGCCAAACTGGCTGCGGCTGGCGCAGACAGAGGAAAACCCCGTCGGTGGCAGGACAGATCCATAGTGAAGAGAGGCCGAATACCTGGATCCATTGGACCCGGGATAAACAGTCCCAGCCTGACTCGCATACGGGAACAGGGAACAAGGACTGGTCACATCGGTCGTCTGCTGCGACGACGATGAAATGAAATAGCGATCGGAACCGAATCCGTCTATGTTGTACCGGCTACCACTTGAAAGGTCGTCTTCACCGACCACCGGAGAACTTTTTCTTCCATCAGTTGTCGTTTTAGTTCCGGAGAAGTTCTCATTCTCTCCCTCGCCCAGCATAGTGCTTCCTCCGCCGCTTAAGTACTTTTTGGGCCCGCTGCCTGGTTCGGATTCCGTCCGATCCACGTCCTGAAATTCTAGCTGCGATGATCCAGGGCTGTTATTGCCGTCCGATGACGAAAGGTTGTAAAAAGTCTTGGGCAAGTTGACGGCAGCGCTGGGCAAAATCCCCTCTCCCAACTGCATCCTTGAAAAGCGACACAGAGACTTTAAGAAGGGCGCAGCAGAAAAGCCTCCAAGCAACGCAAAGGCTGCCTTCAGACGCGACTGTCCCCCGTTTCCCCGCTGCTGTCCGTGGTTGCCCTACGCAGCCACACCTCCAGCTTTTTTTTCCACGACTCCCACTAATCTGATAGTGATTTTAAAAAAATCGTTTCGGGGTTCTTATATACGATCGCCTTCTTAATTTGCCATGAGCGTCATGGGAGGGGCTTCGGGACATCCGTGGCAAACATTCCCCCGTTTTTTCCCCCTGCCCATTGGCCGAACGAAGCAGACATTAATTTAATTAGACACACGCTAATTAACACGAGCGCCTCGGAACCCTTCAAGAAAACATTTCAAGGCGTAGTTTCACTTTTAAACATCATTCTGCGTCGAGAAACTAGTTTGTGCCAAGTGGGCTACGTGTTGAATTTCAGAAGGACTTGCACTAAAACCCATAATCGCTTTACAGTTATTTTCTTTAAACTGCTTTGATGAATACTTAGAATATATTTACCACCATGTGGGAGCTTCAATGATTGAACATTTACCAAGGACTGTGTGCGCACGGCCTCTAAATGTGATTCAACCCCGAAATCAACTGTTCGCCTCTCAATGCACGACTGAAATTTGGGCGTCCGAAACTCGCAGGAATTTAGTTTTATCTTCCCTGTGTGTATAAACACATATACATAGCCTACATACATACATACATACATACATACATATATAGGCCCATACACATCGTTGTGTATTGAAGCCAGACGCGTCCTATTTGGAGATACTTAAACTTGAATGGCGAGTCCACAAGCGCATTAAGAGATAACTGATTTCTCATTAGCAGCCTGTTACGGGGCCTTTTTTCCTTGACACGTGCGTTATGCGCCGAAGTCTTTCTTCGTGGTTCACTAATTAATCATGGACCGCGTTCAACGGCCCCATCAGTTTCAATATTTTTTGTGTGAAAAGGGGGACATCAATATATGCATAAATAAAAACAAACAAACATATAGGCCTACTTAAATTTCTGTACAATATTATTCATAAGGGTGTTCATAAACCAAATAAAACATTTTTAAAAACGGCTAATTAAATTGTTTCTAACATTTAACATTTCAATATTCAAATCAGTATCTAACGTTTAAAGATATACAATTTTGCGCATAATTTGATTTCCCCCTCTTTCTACAGCAGTTCTTTTCTTATAAATGTAGTGACAAATTATAGTTTGTTTACAGAATAAACGAATCGCGGGTGTTTGAAAAAAGGCGTGAAAAGTTTCAGTGGAAACTTGTCGCCCGTGCTGTTTAGTTGTCTTACCTCAAAAAGGTGTTGACGTATTTTTTTTCTCATTCGCTTCTCCGACCCTGGTGTGTATTTTTCAGTAATATTGGATAGTGAGTATTTATTGAAAACAATTATTTTCGTTTGTACCCCCTTGCAGCCATTTAGAATACAGTCTTTACGAATTCGTATAAAGTAAATCCGGCTTAAACAAATTCCATAATTAAAATTAATTTCTATTTACATGTTAAAACAACATTCACGATAGAAAAATAGAAATAAAGCGTCAATATTTTCGTAAGTTAATACATATTTTTTCCAAATCGATTAAAAACGTATGAATGTATGTCTGAAGGAAATCACGCGCGCGGAAAAAGCAATTTAATGCTAATACCGCGTCTAACTCAATACAGTCTGTGTGGATAATCAGCAGCTAGTTTGGCTTCATAGAAAGGGAACCACGGATTCAAATCCCACCGGATCGTCCCTTCCCTTCTAGGAGGGAAAACGGCCAATTATTTTTCCGTCTGAAGGAACCTGTGATGTAGCGCGGATAGACAGCTAAGCTAGGGGACACGGCGTTATTAAAACAGCTGCTCGCCGGTGATACCAAGCCACGACGAAATCGGACTAGATGGAAGCCGGTCCCTTTCTGCGTCAAAATGCGAAGGAACCCCGGAGCACGGTGCGAACTCATATAAAGCCGCGTACGGCTTTCAACAACCAACAAGTTGACAGCATTTCCCATAAACAGCCTGATTCTCGTTTTGCCCAATATCTTAAATCGTATAACATTAACGATTAATTAAATCATGCACACGGTTATTACAAACTAAAATAAACTTACCAGTGCTGTTCTTCGTCTAATTTACCAACGCGTACAAATGCACTTAAGGAGAACGATATATTGCATTTGTAAAAACAACCATATTTTAAGGGGACTGTAAATTCACAGTTGCTGTTAATCAACCAGGGCCATTCGCACTGTGCGTAAGGAATTAGAAACGGCGCTAATTTATACTTTGTTCACCACATCTTTTTTTCGCTTTGAAGGAAAAGCAGAAACGGCTTGTTCTTAAAGGGTCACGGTCCAGGGTATTGTGTCACCTCCAGCGCCCCCATGTGGCAGTAAAATGCATTTACTTTTTTCTCTCAGGTCCCCGACAGTATGGTTTCGTATTCGCTGTACGAGTATAGTGGATCTTAGACGTCTACTCTTACACCCATATTTAATTAGACTTTCAGTATATGTAGATATTTAATTAAAGAAAAAATTATCGGACTGATTTTTTTAACCCTCACACGACAATTGATATGTATAATGGTTAATTAATTATAAACACGATTACCCAGTAGTAATAGTGGGCTATCAGTTACTGCCAACGGCAGGTAATAAAGTGATTAAGTGATTATGGGAATAGACTTGAAATCAGAAGTGTTCGGATTCAAATAGTAGAACAGAAAATCTGTTGTAATGTTGAAAGTGGCAGGCGAATTAAATACATTCGACAAAAGTAATTAAATTGCGCGAACGTTCGGCAAAATATTTGCAGGAAATGCTACATTTAAAATTAAAGGACACTGACTTAAAAGTCAAACAAAACTAATCCAAGCAAAAGAGTCCGATTATTTATAATATTTCTTGCAGTACTACCTACAATCGTGCTTCCAGCATTGCAGGAATTTAAACGCTGTTCAATTAAATGTCGGGACCATTAGAGGTAAGTGCTCTGCGGTGCATCGCAGTAGTAGTGGCCGGGATTACGCACTCTGGCCTCGGCTTCCGAGACCATGTCATGCACTTATAAAAATTGCACGACTTATATATTTTAAAATAATATATATATATTAACATTTTAATGTTTTACATATATAATTATACGATAAACATATTTTATTACCCGTATTTTTTTAGTGATTTGAACATATTTTAACATCAATGTTTTCAAAGACCATCGTTCATATTTTTTCCTTTAATTAAAAACTTTGATCTATTTGTTTAAAATTTACCTGAATTATTATTTATTATTAATATTGTTGTTAAATTGTACAATTACATGAATATATTCAAATAGGTATGTATCACTAAACGTTTTAGATTTTATGACATACTTATTCAGAAACTGTTATAGGATATTATGTCTTTAAGTGTTTTAGAGATTTGTATTCTTTTGCAATTCCTTATCCCGAAGATCTAGGAGCGCTTACATCACCTTCGGTGAAACGATTCCCCGATCGCTCGCGTGTGCACGTATTTGTTTGGTATATCTGTCTGCATGCGCGTGCGCTTGCGTGGGAGAGAGTGAGATAAAGGAGGGAAAAGGGACAAAGATCTGTGAAATGCTTCATGGAAACACGCTGGTGGGGCAAGACTGTCTCACAATTCAAAAAGGAAGTTCTAAATGGATTTTAATATGTCCTCCCAGGTGGAACATCAGAGAGGCTGGGGCCAGTATCACCAGTCTGGGGGGGGGGGGGGTTTGGTGACTGGCTGCAGCGTCATAATGAGAAGAGGAGGAGAGGCTAGAAAACAAAATCCCCTAAAATCAATATTTTGATTTGAAAAGCGACAAAAGCAATGCCATGCTGTCCTGAAGTAGAAGGGCAGGAAGCCAAAAGCAGGCACGGTTCTGCAGAGCCATGAGCCCCTCTCAGGGAGCAGTGCGGAGGGGGCACCTGCAGAGACCACTGCATCAGGCACTGCAGCTTCACCCGACTCGTGGTGCCCTTCTGTCAGCGTGAGATACGCTTATTAGGATCAGCCAGGAGATAGGGCTAACCGAGCCATTGTACCCGTCCCACACGTGTCCGTGGGGTTCTGAGATGGAGAGAGCACCCAGCTCTCTGTCAGCGCACATGGTCACGATCCCCGACACGGATGTTCGATTGGAGATCGGCCTCCTATGGAAGAGCAGCATAATGACACCATGTTTAATGTTGTCTCATTTTGTGTCGACTTGCTGGAAGCTTTTAATTACTAAAGAGTATTGAGAGTACATGCACTAATGGGAGGCCTTCATAGTCGGGGTCCTGCAGAAGGTACTTATCATAAAAGAGGGCTAATCAATACTCAATTCACAAAGCATAGGGAGAAGAAGCCTTTCGTAGGGCCTAATCACAACACTGACAGGACTTAAAAGGCGACATTAGGCACCCGCATCATGCTATCAAAGTGGAGCGTGGAGGTGATAATTTCGTGTCAGGAACCTTCCCACGTTGCCGCGAGTCTCCTCAGTTCCCGGGCGGCTCGACGCGGAAGGCTCTCCGTCTGATCCGTGGCTGTGTCAGTCTTCGGGTGGCTCTGTGAGATCTGCAGCAATCGGGAAAACGTTTAATGTAGCCATGCCGGCGATGGGGGTAGATAGTGGTGTGTGTGTGTGTGTGTGGGGGGGGGGGTTAAACTCACCGCTGGAGGCCAGTGCCCTGTATGTTTTGGAAGCACCTTTCTGCGTGTGACAGATTCACACCTGGAACTCCAGGTAATGTGACTCACTGCCCCGTCGCATGTCGTTCCAAAGCGAAAACTGTGAAACCTGAAGAGTGTACTCCTTGCAGAGTCTGCTGCTTTCTGAACTACCTTGGTGATTTTCCTGATGTTCTTTATGTAAATAAGTATAGGAAGTAGCCTCACCTGGTATTTCAGGTGTTAATTAGTTGCCAATTGAAGCATTACGCTACTCTGACTACTCTGACCCTGTGGAATTATAAATATACTATTTATTATTTTACTATATACTATTTACACACATGTATTCAAACACATTTCTCAGTAAATATCTTAATGGCTGCACTGTTTAATATAGTTTATATACTATATATCATATATAGTTCTCTCCTTCACTCTGATAATAATGTATTATTGATTTCACAGCTCAATTTCTGTCTCGATACAATGATCAACACCAATAATAATAATAATAATAATAATTAATAATTAATGTGACATTTGCAAGGGAGTAAATCCTTAGCAATAAGACAATCACTGGGAGGTCTGCAGCCAGACCTGTCACATCACGCTTCTACCGATCGACACGATGTGACGATAAAATCTCAGCGTACACCGAGCAGCGTGCCCCTGCCGAGGCTATCATAGCGTAGCGGCGACGGCCGAGGGCTCGGAGGTCAAAGCCGCACAAAGCGGGACGGAACCACCGGCAAGACCAGGTTCTGCTCTGCCTCTGTGGAACGCGTTTGGTTGTCTTTGTGTGCCATCGCTTCCTTTCTCACTGTCTGAGATTGTCTTTATTATAATCATAAAATTACATTAAACTAAAACATGCCTTTAGATTACAATTTGCGTCGAAAGTAGCATAAAAGTCAGTTATTTTGTGATTTTCTTAAAACGGATATGAGGAATCGTGAGTGTCCGTTTATTGCAAAGGCGTAATAAAATAGCGATCCATCCATCTTATAACCGGTCATCCAAGTCATACTTGTGGGGATTAACAAAACATTTCGATATAAAATGTTAAACACACAAAAAAAAAAAAATCACGAACAATCTTCATAATCAATCGTATTTAACACGCCGCGAACGTATTAATTTAATAAGGCAAATGAACCTGCTTGGAAGTCTCCTCGCAGCGTTTTATTTCGCCGCTTTTTTTGGTCTAATTTCCATCAATTATCACTATGGTCCTGTGGAGTCCAAATAAACAAATTAAACGTGATTTATATAGCGCCTACGCGCAAATGTAAGCGCAAACGGGGCCAAAGTTAACGTCTCCCTGTAAAAGAGCGTCGCCTCTGACCTGTCAGCGTGTTCCTTGACCACCTATAAAAATCTCAGTGTGTTCAGCATGACCTCCCGTGGCCGGGGGCCAGGGGCCGCACGACAGGGGAAGGGAAGTCTTACCATATTGTTGTCAGAGCGGATAATCAGCAGAGCACATGAAAGGGAAGCATTCCAGGTTTTACGGGCCAAGCCGGCTGCAGCAGCCTTCGCTGACGGCTGAGTTCACGTACCCCCGCCACAAGGATTAATAACTGCGTCTCATTAGTGGATCCCTGGACACAAGACCCCTGGCGGGAGGGGCACTGGGAACTGAAACAACTGCGGCGGCCTCACGCCTATCTCCGAGACGTGGCATCTTTACCCCCAGGAGTCGCGTGTGCATTATTAATATTCATATTATTATTAATATTATTATTATTATTGTTATTAATAATAATATTTATTTATTTATAATCGAAAGAAAATTAAAGGACTGCGCATTGCCTTTGCACGTCCAGCGGGTCTAGCGTTGCGGATTTCCTCCTGCAGTGTCGCTGTAGAAAAAAAAAATATTTAAAATAACACAGTAAATCCCCCCGGAGCTCGCAGGTCAGTGACTTGGCGAACGTGAAGGTTAACCTGGGCGCTTGTGGCCAGGTAGAGGCGGCGGGGAGGTGCTGCTTTCCAGGAGCTCTGTTTGGCCGCGGATGCCCGGAAAACGTCGGTGAACTGAAAAAGCGCGATTTGAGCCCGATGCTAGTCAGCGTCTGACACAGAGAGGACGCATAGATACACAAAAATACACAGCCAGTACACCGCTCTGACCTTGCGTAGCACTAACGTGGGAAATAAACTTAGATGCGTTTTTTTTTAATTATTACAATGTTAATAAAATGCGTTCATAATTATGCTTTATTTTAGGCCTATTCATTAATTAATCTTCGTCATTTTCTTGACGTTTTTGTTATTTTACATTTCTTAGGTGCCTCATTTAAATTACAGAAACCCATTAACAATGATCATTGTTCTCTCGACCTTGTTTTTAGCGATAGATGTCCTCGTAAATTGCAAAGGGGCAAGAACTTTCTATAGTCGTTACAACCCATTCA